CTCTATGCTTTAATGTCTAGAAAATATATAATACAATAAATTTCTCTTGCAAATTGTATATGCTGAACTTCTTTGTAACCACTTTTTTTTTTCAGGCACATTTAACGATATCTTATAACTTAACACATCCTCAAAGGAAAATAACAAAAATTCAGTTCATCTATGTACTATAGAAATCAGAGATGAACTATCATGAAATTAATTTATCAATCAGTCTATTAAGTAGATTTTTCTGAATTTTAATATTTACAAATTTTATGTTATACACCATAATTTCTCTATTTTTATTTATGCTTATCTTAGTGTCTGTGTTCAAATTCTTTACTCACAGGATATTAACATGTAAAGCATGTATTAAGAACTTCTAAAACTGACAAGTTATATTTAGCAAATTACTTATAATATTACTGTAGCTGCACATTAACTTGCTTTTTGAAGAGAATTAGTAAAATAATGTTGAAGTAGGATGTAGCTATCAGTGTGTGTATGTGTATGTATATAATTCTTCTGAATGTAAATTAGTGTATTTTTATTCTTTGGAAAAATAAAAATGGGTGTGTCTTAGAAGGAGAAAAATTACCTACATTTTATTTCCTTTAATATACTTGATTGAGAATTCTTTGCATTAACAACATAATGTTTTTTTAATGTATAGGGTTATAAATACATCAAAAATGAGGCAAGTCATTAGTACTAGTGTATTCAATTACATAGATACATTTTTTAAATATAGCTTCAGCCCTAACCAGTATGGCTCAGTTGGTTGGACACTGTCGCACAAAACAAAGGTCACTGGTTCCATTCCTGATCAGAGCACATGTCTGGGTTGTGGGCCCAGTGTCAGGTTGGGGCATATGCAAGAGGTGACCAATTGATGTTTCTTTCCCTCTTTCTCCCCGTCCTTTCCCTTCCTTCTAATAGTAAAATACATAAATAAATCTTTTTAAAAAATATAGCTTCAATTTTACCATCAATGTCTAAATAAAAGGCCAAAAGTGAATGAATAAAAAAAGGACCTTTCTTTAATTTTTCTCTCCTTTTTATTGTTGTTCAAGTAAGTACAGTTGTCCCCATTTCCCCCCACTGCTCTCCCCTGCCCCACCCCCACCCACCTCCCACACCCCCCTTTGGCTTTGCCAATGGGTTCTGGACCTTTTAATTAATCGTTAATGATGACAAATATTGCCACTCACTTTAAAAGTGAAAATCAGAGAGACAGGTATTTAGACTTAGGAAGAGAGCACAGTCTTTTACTAATTTTTGCTTTGAAAAAGAGTTACAATCAGACAACTAAAATAAATTATTTCCAAAAGGAAGTATTGGAAAAGCCTATTCATTACACAAATTAAATAAAGTATTCCCCTTTTTATTTAATTTAATTAACAGATAATACATATAACTATATATATATATATATCATGCACACACACATAAACCCCTATATATGTAATTTTAGAGACCAGAAAATTCTATCTCAAAGCTATCTCATTCATTAAATGGACCTAATAATAACACACAAATTTGTAATTATCAATCACCACTGATCACAATAGGATCTGTTTAGTGAAACTTCTTGGCCTTTCACCCTTTCTGCAAAAGTCTCAAATTAGGACAAAATGGATATAGTGCATAAGGAGAATGGAGACATGAATCTCAGATCAGACTCACACTGCTTTCAAAGTTGCAGGATGTGTGGGCAAAGATGTTTTGATAGCAAGGATATTTATTAAAAGAATAAGTTGTTGGTTGTAGTTATCAAAATTTTATCCTTCAGAAAATAACTTGTGGCCAGTCTATACTGAAGACAGATGGATTTTTTAAGAGCAGAAGTAAGGAAATCTTTTAGTTGTATATTAAACTATTAGAGCCTGTCCAAAAAAGTGGACTCTTCTAGATCCTTAAAAATATGTTATATGTTTGTAATGCTATGGACAAATTCATTTGGTAAATATTTACCGACCTTCTACATTGAGATAGGGTCTCAGCAATAAAGTAGGCAAAGGCCTTCCTTCCAAGATTAATTGTCAAGTGGGGAGTCACTTAGAAAGTGGAGGTAGAAAAGGAATACAATACAATATTCCTGTTCTTTCTGAGAATTTCAACTAATTCCAGCTAATCTTACATCACTAACTTTTAATGGACTGTGATTAAACTTCTGGTATTGAATATTTAGGTTATTTCAAATTTTGGTATTTATAATAGAGTTGAAAAATTAAATGAACATCAATGTACAGTTAGAAGATAGGATAGAATGGAGAAATCCTAAAATGTTTTGAAAAAATGCTTTAGAAAACATAGAATGAAATGAAGTTAATAGTGATTCAAGACATGTAACAGTGACTGGGAAAGATTTCTTATACAGGTTATTTTCTTGATCCAGTTGTCATAATGATCAAGGTACTTTACATAAAATTGCTTTCAGCCAGTTTGTTTTTAGGTACATATAAAGTGAAGATGAGAGGATCATAGAGGATGATGAGCAGCAGATAAACAGGAGCCAGACTAAGAGTCAAAAAACAAAACAAAAAGCCTGTGGTATTATCTTTTCTATCTGTATACATTAAAGTAGTCAGGCAGTTCTTTTAGAGTGGATCAACAATTATTAAAACAACTTGTTGTTTTTACATTCTATGAAAATTAGCCTAGGTAAACATATATTTCATGCATTTTCATAATTATGGTATATAAGCATATTATTTGATTAATGCAAGAATGTTCATAGTACCTGATAATATATAGACTCTCTCCAAAATAAATACAGATTTATTACTACCTATCTTAGTTGATACAGATTAAGCAAAAACAAAAACCCAAATCATGTGGGGTTTTTTTTTGTGTGTAAAGTACAAATAAAACAAAAACAAAAAACAAACCTGTCATTTGTATTCCAATTCTTAAGAATCAAATAAATTTGAAAGGCTACTTTTCAGATCCAGTGGAATCATTCTAACCCAGTTTCTGATAGTGAATGATGTAACATTTTATAATCTGTAATAGGTTTGATAATATCTGGTTATTTATATGGAGTTTTAAAAAACTAATATTGTAGATTCTCATTGTTTGATAGCCGTGGAAGATATTTTCTCTTGCACTAATTAAATACATATATTTTGAGGCCCTAACTATGCAAACAGATGAAGAATATATTATTTTCTATTTTATATATGTGTGAAAATTAAAATTAAAAATCCAAAACATTCCATTTACCTTCAGCCTTCCTAAACTCTTCAGGAAAGCTTACCACGAATATAAGAAGTTATTATAAAAAATTAGTAAACAAGAACAAGCAAAAGAGAGAGAGAGACTCCTAGATGGAGAACAGATGGCAGCTAGTGGGGTGGGGTTGAGGGGATGGAGAGATTAAGCAAAGAGGGAAAAGGACTCATGGACATGGACAACATTGCGGTGGTTTCTGGGAGGAGGGGGTATAAGGGACTAAATGTTAATGGAAAATATAATAAAGATTAAATTTAAAAAGTGTGTATACACACATACATAATATTTATTAATTTATGTTGTTAGGGTCAGTTTTACTTAGTGATCATGGTAATCGCATGGCAGGCAATACCCATTTTCCCTAGTGATTAATGTAGCAACATTTAGTTTTTGGAAAATTATTTCCTTAATTTGACTAGCTAGGAAAAAACTTTCACTGTTAAAAAACAGGTATAAACATCAATACCTAAGATAAGAGAGTGATCTCATGCTGTTTGCTGTGTCTCCAGTGCAAAGAATTCAGCAGGTTAAAGTCTGAGGATCCAGTAGGGCTATTTATCAGGAGTAAAGAACTAGAAAAAAATTAGTTTGATGCAAAGACTTAAATTGAAAGACTGATAGGGAGCCTATTAATAGCAAAATATCTGTCAAACACTCTCTGAATATGTTGGGGCTGTGTGACAAACATGAAAAATCAAACCCCAGCACAGTAATTACAGGTAATTTGTGAACTGTTTCTAATTTCCTTACTGTGTGAATAATATCCCTAACTACTTGAGACATGATTTGACTCTCTGGGGATCTCATTGAGGTGATCACAGCTTGACACTGGCGACATTGTTTCAGTATTCTCCATGCTGCTCTTCCAGTTTTCAGCTGGTCTGGAGTTAAAGGAAGGAAGATTTTGGTGTTAAACGCTGAGCAATTCTTTCTGTTCATTGTGTTCTCTGTGGTTGGATCTACTGTTAAGTTTTGGCAGCTTTTACTAATTGTGGATTAGGGATTGAATATTATGGTTCAAGTACATGCTCAATCATTTCTTCTAGATATGCCAAATAAAATAAATCATAAAGCTTTCAGAATATTGTGTTTCATGCTAGTTGACTCGATAATTGTTAAAGACTCCTAGGTACTGCAAAATTGTTAGAAGGCGTTACCAACTAATCAGGGTAAGAACTACAAGACTCTAAACTGTACTATTAACATCATCAGTGAGAAAAAGAAAAGCAAAATAATAATAATAATAACTGGCTTCTTTTTTGTTTCTAAAGATCATGCTCATCTTATTAAGTGTTCTTAAGTGAAAAAAACAAAAAGCATTTAACATTCATATACTCATCCATCGTTAACATTTCTTTAATCTTATATGGTGGTGTTATTTGTGTTTATTTCTGTTGTGTTGTTTTGTTGCTTATATCTTTGGCAAAGCATGTCATTTTTTGTTTTACCTATCTGTATTTTGCTACTGCATGTCAAACTTTGTAAATGACTCAGTGAAAAAATGAATTCTTGTCATTTTAAATTTCACTCTAAATCTTGTGAACAATCGCTTTGTTCTCAAACACTGCTCCACATCTTCGGTTCGTGTAGGAGCATGAAAAGGAAGTAAACAAAAAATGACAAGAACTGTGAGGTACAGCTGGCTTCGTACCCGATAATCTGTTTCAGCTTGTTAAAGTTAAGCCTAAATAAGATATATGTATTTGTAATTTGAATCCTTTGTGTTTCTTTTTTGTTTGCATGATATGATTTTGTTTTATATTTTGTTTTTTTCCACTCACCAGATGTTCCCATCACTTTGCTTCCCACTACTATCATCCCCTCCCTTACCACTGCAACAGTCACAGCCACTGTAGCCATAACCGCCAGCCCCACCACACCTGCAACCACCAACAGCAGAAGAGGTATGGTATGCTTCTTTGTTATGGCCTGGAAAACACATTAAATGGAACTTTAAAGCTTTTTTTTAAGGGTAGAAAAATTGAGATCCAATTTTACTTAATCATAGGAAGTAATTAAGTCACCTAAATTACTATTAATTAAAGTGATTGGAATAGAATATGAGACAAATGTTATACTTTAATTTTAGTATCATTTATAACTATTATGATAACATTCCAGAATATAGGTTAAAATTTGTTCCAGAATATAAATTGAAAGTATTCTACAACATTGAGCAAATTTAAAATGTGAATATGGACACTGTTTATTTGCCTTGTCTTTTAAATGAAAACAAAGAAGTAAGTTCAAAGATGCAGAGATAGCTTCTGCTTTCATAAAAGCCTAGTTAAATATTAACGAGTTGTTTATTTCTCTGAGAACAGATTAAAATACTCAATGTTGAATTTATTCTAAAATGGGTATAATACACGGGTCGTTAAAACTATATAAAAACATAGAATGTTTAAGTAAGTATTCAATGTAGTACCCTAAAGTGATTTCCTGAATGGACCCACTTATTCTAACAGAATGTTCTAAAAACAAATGTTCCAGAGCTGCCCAGCATAATAGGAATTGATATTGGCTCCATGAGTATTTGCTGGTCATCAGTCTATTAATAAGCATTTTTGCCTCAAGAAAAATAATCTTGAAGAAATAACAGTATTTTTAAGGGCAAAACAAATATTTACATAGGCTTCACAAGTGTAAAAGAGCATTCCTGAGCACTCATTAAGTGGTTAGTAGATGAAAAAATAAAAAGAGTTGTTTGAGTGCACTATAGAAAAACACATTTTAAACTTCATTTCTGCAAAAGCAATGTTCAAAGAGAATTTGTCTTATGTAAGCCTGTCTTTTTCTACTTCTTATATGTGTTTTGTGTTATGTTGGCTATACTAATGTGTGTTAACAATTTAACTTAAAATCATGGAGACCTTACATCAATATATTTGTAATAAAAGTTGTAACATGGGAAGGCTCAGAAGTATTTTCCATTACTTGTAAAGATTGTTCAATTAGACTGTTTTTCTTGATATTTTCATTAATTCTCAATATTAAGTTGAGCTGCTAGCTTTCACTTCACAGTTATAGCATTTTTCTCTTGTTTCAAAAATCATATTTGATAATTGTTAATTTCTCATAATTATGACAAATATGTTATACAATGTACAAGACTGAGAGCTAAAGTTTGATGATAGTAACAAAAATAATTTTTCAAAAATACTATTTTGTTTTAGTATTACTAAATAAATTATATTTGAGCTAAATCTACAAGTGAGAAAAGTTTAAAGAGCTTTCTTAAAACAGTTTATGTAAAACTGGGAGAAAAATAATAAAGATGAAGAAAAGTTAAATAATACTTTATGATATTATATGAAATGGAAAATGCCCAAAGTTCTACTTTGCTTTAATTTATTATTTTTTGAAGATTTTTACAAACAGTAATTCAAATGAAATATATTTCATACTAAAAAATCTCAATTATAATATTACATTGCAATTTTACTAACAAATCATTTTGACAGAAAATGAGGGAAGTATATTGATTTAAATTTTTATTTTAAAGACCTACTTATAGCCTATTAATCAGTTATGCTTTCTTTCTTTAACAAATATTTACTGAGTACCTGCTATATATATATGGGATGATGCTAGGTCTTAAAATTACAGAAATTAAAAGCATTGCATCTTGATATGTTACTTACTGCATTTTAATCAACCTGTTTAAATAAAATTAGTTTTATATGTTTTCAAGTAAATTTGCTTATTTGTGGGTTTCCTAAGATGTGTTGTGAACTTCATATCATGTACTTTAAAAGTGAACTTCATATCATGTACTTTAAAAGTGCTAATAACATTAATCTCCCTCAAATGAACATACAAATAAACAAGCTTCAGAGAACACACACACGTACATACAGCATTTGCTCTTTTTTTTAACCAAATAGTTGAAAGTATGTTTCATGTGGCACCAATGTATATGGAAAGCAATGTACTTTGTAAGTTGGTCAATCCATAGTATTTATTTTATATAGAAAAATAGTTACACTGATATTAAATATTAGTCTAATGCTTACTTTTCCTTTGTGTCTTCAACAGTTGGGGTCTGAGGGAAGTCACCAAGCTCACCTGCATAATCAATTTTTCTAGTTCATAACTGAGGGAGTGGGAGATTCAGTCAGTACATAAATATTGTTATGAATTGTGGACTCTAACCCTTTTAAGCTACTGTACAATATTCCCTTATTTGTGCATTACCTATTAAATTAGAGCTTTTGAATACAATTGTACTTTAAATGGACTTTATTTATAAATTAGTGAAAGGTGAAAATTGTGGTAAAATATGTCATAATAAGAATATGTTTGCTAAGAAAAGCTGAGAAGTAAAGAGAACTAAATATTTTCAGCTTGCAGATTTTTTTTAAAAAAAGATTATGTTCCATCACTTTAATTCACAAATATGAAGTAAACTAACTATATTTTATTTTATTACATTTAAATGAAACTTCTTCAAATTTTATAAATAACATTTGTCTAGCTATCTAAATAATGACCACAAATAAATCATTGTTTGTATCTCCTTTGACACTCTTTGACCAATCCTATTGTTGCTGATTTTTCCAACTTAAGGTATGGTGAACATCAGTGTAAAAAAAATCAAAGAATCACAGTTGTGGCTAAATTACAAATCAAGATGAAATAGAGCAAAAGAAACTACCCAAATTGTCAGTCATAACCTTGAGAATCTGCACATCTGTTCAGTTTGTACATGAAATGTATCTCTGTTTGGAGGAAGAGGATCTTCAACCAAATGAGAGAAAAGCTAGCAATTAGCAGTAGCTTGTTACAAATAAGGTATTAAAACACAGAGAAATGAAAAACTTGAACAGTTCTGGAAAAGATAGAAAGTAAACCCTGGAGAAATCTGTGGATGTGAAGGTTTAGTTCATCTGTTTAGAAGATCTTGGACAGTGAAACAAATGGAGCCTCAGCAATTTCATTAGGAAAATCAGAAACACTTAACAGAAGCACTTAATTCCCAGGGCATGTTGAAAACTAGATATTACATAGAGTTCTAGAAATATAATCAGTACTCAATGTATGCAGGACATTGCTCAGTTCTTTTTAACAGAATAGATGTGTTTACATGTAATTGGATCATACAGTGAATACAATGCTACATTTTCCTATTGTAATTACAGTTTTAATTCTAGCAAATATTTTTGGTGTTAGTGTAGTGATTACTTATTAATTTTAGATCTATGTCAATTGATTATTTGAAAAAGTTAGACAACAATTATATTAGAGCATATGGAACTTTATTTCTATCTATATATCAATCTATTTATCCATCCATTCATCCATCCTTGAATTTAAAAATAGTTTATAAACTTCCCATGTATTCTTGATATATATTATATACCTCATATATAAAACATTTTTATTGATCTCAAATTGTTTTCAATCCATAAAAGCATTGTTATAACACAATTTAATTTCTGCTTTTGGAAATTGCAGGGTTTTTTCTTTTTCTTTTTTTAGACTAGCAGCCTGAGTAGCCCTATCATTCAATATACAATAGAATATATATGTGTATATACACATACACACATATACACACATATATATTCTCTTATAAATGTTTATATAGTATTCCTAGGTCACTGTGACACATTTTAATTAGTTAAATATGATAATTTATAAAATTGTTCCAAATGACCTGCTGTGATTTTTAATATTGATATTATTTTATCATGATATGTTTTATTTGAAACCATTTTCTATTTTTAATCATAGAAAATTTTAAATTTATAATAACTATGTCATGATCTAGGAATCTTTAGCAGTATCCTCATTATGTAGATGATATAAAGGTATTGAAAATTTAGGAAACATAGGTTAGACATATTGACATATATCAATGTCAATGTTTATCATAATTTTTATTTTATTTTTTTAAGATTGTATTTATTTATTTTTTTTTAAAGAGAGGAGAAGAGAGGTAGGAAGAGAGGAAAGGAAGCATCACTGTGTGCTGGCCTTTCGTATATCTGCACTGGGAAGTCTGCCTGCAGCCCAGGCATGTGCACTGACTGAGAATTGAACCAGCAACCCTTTGGTTTGCAGGCCAGCACTCAATCCACTGAGCCACACCAGCCAGGACTATATATCACAATTTTTAAATTAGAATTTACAACTCTAACTTTACATTTATCAAGATAGAATAACTAAACTGCTAACTGCTAACTGCTATCTGTTTTTATCTCTGTAAAACTGCAAATGTCCTAAAAGACATAGATATGGAGAGAAGATATATCTCATATATTTCCTGTCCTAAAACTATTAGTGTGTTCAAATATTTCATGCATTTCAATGTAACAGATGGGGGAAAATTCGAGAAAAGATGAAGTTATTTGTACAATCTATGTAAAAATCCAAATTAATTACTTGTGCAAATATAGATTTGGTTTTACATCTTTGGCAGTTGTAAGTGATAACTTTATATTAATAAAATCACATCATTTATATAGTAATCTGTGGCGGGGCTCCACATGCAGAGCTCCCCCCCAGCCACCATAGTTGAGAATAATTCTACTAAGACATGATCTGCTTGGGGAGGAAAGGCTGACCAGCCTCTCAGAAGAGAAAGGCGTTTTAGTCCCTCCCTCAATGAGCTTTTATCCTTTTATCAAAGAAAGGAGGTATTTCTGGGATCATGGGGATCCTTTTGAGTCAGGGTCTGGTAGACAGGGTGACGCCAATAGATTGTAAAACCTTGGGAAACAAACTTATTTTGTGCTTGGACCCTTAACATCTAAATTGAGGACAGTCTTAGCAAAGCAGGTTTCACAGGACTTTATGCATTCTTTCTTAGGCCTGATCACCCCCTCCCTGGGAACGGCCAATTCTGGCACAGGACTGCACCACCTTCGGTATTATTTCAGGCCTGAATCAGGCAGGGCAA